CCAAAAGTTGGCGGTGGGTGGTGATGACTAGTGACTTTCCTCTAGTCTTACACTGCTAAATTAGATAAAGATAGCCCTCGTGTAGGTTTGCGCGAAATTCAAAAACAAACAAACAAACAAAGTGATTGCCTACGAGGTTGATAATGTTAATAACTCGGGCATCCTAGACAATATTTACATAATGTTCCATTTATTAAATAACGTCATTGTAGATTAACTAACTTCTAAAAAACAGCTTTAATGAGAAAGGTTGGTTTGATCGAAACCTTGAAATTGGGTTTCGTAACACAAATTCTGTTCCAATGTACACCTCTATATAACTTTCGCAAGAAGTTGAGAGGATATGTTGAACCCCCCTTGTGTCGGGTGATATTGAAACGATGCAATTTCAGACAAACTGAAACAGCTTTGAATTTATAAAATATTTTTTGGAACTCTTTTACTCTTCTATGTTTAATATTAGAAATTATTGTAAGCTATCAGTATCATAAACTCAGATGTATATTTAATTGAGCCATGTCGTTATAGAAACCAGTGTCGGGTCAGATAGACTCGAAACGTAAGAGAAAGAAATAATGAATTAACCTTAGTTGACAGATGAGCTCATTATAACTGTTTTCTATGTTGTAAGAGTTCTAAACAACGTGACGATTTCTCCGTCTTTGGTCTTTCATTCCCTCAGTTTGTAATTTTACTCAGATCTAACGCTACAATGTACTAGCTTGATTTGTGTTATTTTGCCATTTTTTTTAATACTATTACATTCAAGCAGTGACTGTTTTAAGTTATTTGGCATTGCTTAGTATGTAGCACAGGCGTATCTAGGTGCAAACAGTTGGGTGAGTGTGTGTGTGTATGTGTGTGGAGGGGGGAAGTTGAGTAACCACAATGTTCTCAATTTAAGATTTAAAACCTACAGGTGTGAAATGACTCAGCTTGCAAAACATGTTATTGCTAGGGGGGTCTGAGGCATGCCCCCACAAAATTGTGAGCCAAAATATTTGTTAAGAATATTGGTTCTGCATAAATTTAAAAATGGAAAACCTTTGAGGGGGATCGAACCCAGTTTTGGAGGGGTAAAGCCTCCTTGCCCCCCTCATATCCACCTATGGTAAGTAGACTTAAGACGAAACGAAATATTTTAAGCCGGCCATACCTAATGAGGTGTTGTTGGGATTATGGTTGAAAATATCGCGAAGAACGATAGTACCCTACTAATGAATCCGATCATTTTAATCATTTGAAGTTTCTGCTTTATAACATTCTGTACTCCTAGTTAGACCAGTGTATGAAATTAGTTAAGTTATGTAATAAGGTATTTTTTTAGGTTGGATTTATGCTTGCTTTCATTGGAAATTTTGTTTGTTTGTTTGTTACAGAATTTTCACACAAAACTGAAAGAAATTGCTATCTGCGTACACCTGTCCTGATAGACGAGAGGGAAAGCAGCTCATCAACGACCTCCACTGCTAACTCTGACCTAACAGTAGTAGGATTTGACCTTCACTCATATAATGCGCCCAAGCCCTAAAGTACGGAGCGCGTTTTTGCGTCAATAGGTCGCGAATCACGAACCCTCGGATTCACAGTCCAGGAGGGATATTCACTGGTATCTGGCCAGCCCCACAAATGGTGAGAAAAATACTTCAAACTGCATAATGTCTTGTAAAATCATACTTTTACTTATCACGTTGCTTTCTCGCTTATTGATATGACTCGTTACACCATGCCTGGAGAATTATAAGCTTTTTGTACATTTTTAATAATTACTTAACTTCTAATTACCGACGATTTTCACCCGGGTGTTCCCACAAAGAAAAACTAAAAAAAAAAAACTACGACACACCCCGGGGCGTACCATATACGAGCTTACAGGATACCCCGGGTGTAAAGATATAAAATAGGTGAAGATACATAGAGGTTTTTTCGATGATGAGGAACCCACTTTGAGACTAATAATGGTTGGAAACGGCTTGAATGGGTAATGAAGAAAAACTTTAATATAAGTTTAACTTAACAGTAAATGTACAACGTTTCCACAAGGTTTTTTCATCATCAGTACATTTGCTGTTGCTCCCCAGTAGCACAGACTTACAACGCTAGAAACCGGGTTTCGATACCCGTGGTGGGCAGAGCACAGATAGCCCTTATGTAGCTTTGTGCATAATTAAAAACAAACAAACATTTGCTGATATGTTAAACTTATATTAACGTTTTTCTTCATTACCTATTCAAGCCTTCTCCAACCATTAATAGAGGTTTTTTTTGCATCTTTTCTCCTATGTAAGAATAAAACGCTTGAATCAGGAATGATTACGTAAAAACGGAATACCCGCAACTTTATCGCGAGTGTGTAAAACTGCTTAGGGGTTCCATCATTTTTACTGAGATATTCAGCTGCCATACGCTAGACAGATGTGGGTCTCATCGTGAACTTAGACCGCGACCACGTGAGTCCATGTTGATGCGAAGGGAAGGAAGAACGGAGTCACGAATAGCTCAGACAAAGTTCGTTATCCATAGGTTTTTTTTGTGCGGGTTAAAGTGTTTGAAAGTGTTCTAAGAAATAATACTTTGATTTTATTTCCCCTGTTATTTACACGAAATAAAATATAATATAATTTAGTTTGATATCCAATAGGGTGTTTTAATAAGAAAAGAATCGCAGCTTTTATTAAATGTCCTATTATTCCGAGCTTCGTTAGGGCAAGTTCTTAATACATGTACCGGGACGTACGAGAACGTGAAATCACGATATACCGTCGGATCAGCGGATTAATATCGAAGTGAAAAGTAGGACTCGTACAGAATTCTACCCACTATGAGACCTTGGCTAGTATTAGAATCTACAGTTAAATCTGAAGAAAATGACAGTAAAAAGCCTACATCGCATTTTCGACTTTGGCTAACGCTCTTAGTGTCACTTTCAACGTATTTATTAACTACAGGACACCCTGTAACACCAAATATTTCCCTTCGCACTGACGTCGATGCTGTTGTAAGTATGTTTATTGCTTTAAGTAGTACTTCTGGTAAATATAGTGAATTATAAACACGTTTTTGAGAAATGTGTGACAAAGTAATACACATGAACGTTAAGCACTTTTCTAGTGATATACTATAATTGGCATTGGTTTTACAGGAAACAGTAGTCTTAGAGGGGCAGAAGAAGGGGGGGGGGTGCTTTTACATCCAATTCGAATTACTCTCTCTTTTTTTTTTTTTTTAGTTAATAAGGGAGAAATCTGTTGATGAGCGGAAATTGAGGGACGTGGCCCCTCCTTGACTTCAACCACAGTTTCAAATCTATATGAAATTCATATCTTCAGTAAATGCCATCATAGAAACCATTCTTTCTTGATATCGAAAGAAAGGTCGATATATATAACACGTTTCTGTGTGCCATTATGAAATTAGTATATATATAACACGTTTATGTGTGTCATTATGAAATTAGTATATATATAACACGTTTATGTGTGTCATTGTAAGATTAGTATATATATATAACACGTTTC